TGGTGCGTTAAATCACCGTCATTTGTTAGGAGACACGTTCAAGTGCACGCACACATTTTTTTAGGTGTGTAGGAGGTATCCTATCCCACGTACATAGACGTACACACACAGGCTTGTTCTGAAGTTGGACATCAAGTGCTCTGTGGGGGTTGCAGGTAGATGCTAGGCGGCTCTTGGGCAGGACCCCCACCGTGTGCTCTGTCTGAATCACTTTGTGAGCAAGTGCTAACACCCTCTGACTTCTTCCACCTACTTCATTTCCCTTTCCTGTGCATTTTGTCTCAATGTAAAGACCTCATACAGACTTTTATGGTTAAATGTAAAGCTTAATTCCAATCTTAAACCTCATTTTCAATTAGTCAAATATAATATTTCAAATAAGATACTGTCAGCACGATTCTCCCATTAGAATATTTTAACATTCCCTCTCAACTCTTTGCCAACAACTGACCAACAGACTCCTTGTTCCACTTTGCAACGTGTCTTTAGTGATGGAAAGATTTAACTGTACACAAAATGGGATGTTGCGGGTGTAGGGCCAGGCCAGACAGGATGAAAGCAGACAGGCAGAGTTCATTAAAAAGTAAACTTTTGATGCAGCAGCAGGCTAAGGCTGCTTGACTGTATCAATGATTTAGGCCTACCAGAGGTCCCTTAATGGATAGAGCCACCTCTCTGTGTAAGTTCAGCTGCTTCTTTCTGCCTGGCATTAAGTGGCACACACTTAGACACAGGCTGTACAGAAAAAAGCATTTCAAAGTATTTTTGTGTATAGAAGTGCAAAGCTTGTTTCGAAAACCTCCGTGTTCAGACACACTATTGCACATTTATCAGGGCTTTAAAGTKGCACAAATTGAGAATAGTTTTCTCTGTCACTATCCAACATAACATGACCACACTATTTGTACACATTGTTTTATTCATCCAAACTAATGCTTAACTGACAAGACTAGGAAAGCATTACAAAGCATACTTCTATTGTAAAATATGCACAAGAGTTAAAACTTTTGTTAAATAAATCAGTCATCTGCTAAAACGGGCAACAATTAAAAAAGGTGTTTTATTACAATAAAATTGAAAATATTCTCTTTTCCAGCAACATAAATGTAAAATCTTTCTTCATTTTTGGTGGGGGTTTTTCTTAGCTTAGTATATTGTACTGATAACCTGTTGAGTGAAGTCATGATTATTATTCCCTAATACATAAAAAAGTATGACTTGAGCACAACAAATTAATTAAAAGCAGTTTATACTTAAATATGTAAATCTGTTAGCAGTGAACTTTACAGCGACTCTTAAATGTCGTGAGTGTAGGTGTAACAGCCTGCTTCTATATGACTTGTGAAAGTCTGTTTTGTATTACATTGTCTATTGTTTTTCCTGCTTTCTTTGAAATGGAAAGAAGCATTTTTCTATGTGATAGAAAGTAGTTTCTGTTGCTTACTTCCCCATGAGAGATGGATGGATGGATGGATGAGTTACAGTTACTATGATGTAATCTGTGTAGATCTGGAAGTACAGTTGTGCCGTGTGCCAATTCTAACAATTTTTTTAAATCAAACAAAATTCAGGTGCAGTAAAGATTGTTTTAAATCAAGATTGCAGGATGTTCTTAAAGGGRCAATATTATGTGTTTCTCAGGCATACATTTAAATACTATACCATARTAAAGTATCTATGTCATCTTTAGTTGTTATTAAAATGCTGTTTTTATGTTTAAATACAAAAATAAACTTTTCTTCTCATCACTTCCTCTTCTAAAGCCTTGAAATCGGCCTCTGTCTCTTTAAGAACCACCTTCCGCTTCTGTCCTGCCCATTTCAGCGGTGGGGGGGTCGCGTACGCGCTATGATGCAGTGTACTTGGCATCTGAAAATACATTTCCTCAAAGGTATTTTTAATCTGAAAAGACCTTCACTGAGTGAAAATTAGTTAAGAGCGCAGCAGACAGTTTCACTTTCACTTTCACCCGAGAGCTTGCAGGAGTCATGGGCGGGGTGTGTGGGGAAGGGGGGGCTCTGCGATGAGGAAGTTCGGCTTAAAGATACGTCCCAGGGGCGTTTCTGGTCCCCAACTGTTGTTTTGCTCCTCAGCATGGCTGCCTAAAAACGCTGCAGGATTTCTCAAACRTGCATGAATCAGTCAGAGCAAGGCTTTGGGCATGTTTTTTATGAGAGTATAACATTATAACATGACATAAAACTCGAAAAACTTGATTTTCCATAATATTGCCCCTTTAATAGAGATGCACCAATTTGAAAATTTCAGCYGATATCGATATCCGATATGATTATTGATATTATGGCCGATAACGGATATTTACCAATATTACACAAACACACAAATTATATTATACATATACGCACAAACACACTTGGGTCTTTTCTAGGGCTGCAACAACGAATCGATAAAATCGATAAAAATCGATTATTAAAAGCGTTGGCAGCGAATTTCATTATCGATACGTTGTCACGTGATTTATGCGTCCCTCGCTGCTTCAGAAATGGTTACTGGGTCAGAACAAATTTTTAATCAAACAGAACCAACAAGAATGAAACAAAAAGTAAAGAGTAAGAAAAAAATGTTAAGTGTAAATAAATCCTAATTATAATAAATTAATAATAGTTTTACATCTAAAAATTATATTTTATTTTAATCTATTTTCCTCATTCAGCAACCTATTAAATTTCTGTTATGTTTCATGTATGAGAAGTACACATTTTTTTCAGTCAGTATTTAATACAGCTGGCAAATTAAATTGTTAAAAGATGTTTTATGTGCTTCTGTTTTTTTAATTCAGGAGATTATAAAAAATCCTTCATTTTATGGAAAGACCCTCTTGAATCAAGAGAAAACTCCGTTTTTTTTAAATGGCTGCTTATTAATTAATTGTTAATCTATAAGATAAATCAACTTCAGATTAATTCATTATCAATAACTTGCATCCTTAAGGAACTTAATATCTACTCATATTCATGTAATTAAGGGTTTTAATGATTTGGTCGATTTAATCGAAAAAATAATCAACCGATTAATCAATTATTAAAATAATCGTTAGTTGCAGCCCTAGTCTTTTCTTGATACCGTAAATAATCGACCAAACCTCTGACATGGCTCCCTATTTCAGTTATTCCTGGCTACGCAGCGTCAGTATCACTATCATGATCAAACAGATGCCACTCAACCAACCATCTCCCCTCCCGAAACAGAAACACAAAGCTAAAAAGTGGGAAATCAATATTGGATGTTAATATTGGCCCAGTTTTACATATCAGACCAGTACAGATATTCTAAAAAATGACCAATTTCAGCCGATACMGATATCAATACCGATATATCGTGCATCCCTAGTTCTTAAGCTAATGTTATAAAAGTAAATAMTGAAACAAGTGTGTCAGTGTGTACTCAGTTCTTAACATGTGGCATAATAACGTTTAATGGGAATATAAATTTACCAGCCACAAAAGTATAAAATCTCAACTGAAGTCATTTACTAATAAACTACCCAGGCTTCTTGTAATGATGGGCCCATATTTTGATCAGGGGCAGAGGACATCAATGGCTGCACTAGATAGGGTTGGGCATAATCGTATCATGTGCAATTAATTGTCAGAAAAACATTAATCKATTATTTTCTGGCACTTGACGATTAATATGATTAATGCCACCAGGCAGACTGACTGGGGATTACTCCGGTCAGTCTGCTCAGTACTCCTCTCTGCTTCAAATATGATGAACATTAAAAATAAAGTTCAGTACCGGTAATTTATTTATCTATCAACACAATTTAAAATATGATGTATAGCCTGAAATCTGTAATTTTCACACAATTTGGAACATTTTTTTACAAAGAGCAAATCTTTCCCACTAAATTGGTCATGTGACTATGAAATAAGGGTGTCCAGGAACTCCAGGGAATTAATCGTCAAATTAATTGTTATCGGCAAAATACCACAATTAATTGTGATTTTTTTTTTTTGCCAATATTACCCAACCCTAGCACTAGTAGCTTAGAGGTAAAACATAATTGGACTTCCTAAATAAAAACCAAACAGGTACTGTTTTATTTCTGTAATAGCAGATTTAAAATAAAGTTTTGTTTCAGGTTTCACATCAGTTTCTCTGTGTGTTAAAGTTTGTTTGCTTCTGAGATTTAACCAGTGAGACTAACCACATTACAATCAGCCTCTCATTAGGTCATCTCTGTGGTATAACTGTCTTTAACATTGAACCAGTGATTCCAGTCTTTTGCACTCGTGGGTGTTTCCGCATCTCTCCTTGAGCCTTTCCCAGCTTATTTCTGCATCCAATAAACGACACAGCTTTATAGTGTCAGTAGTCCTTCACTGAGTAGTGTGGAAACATGTATATATTCATGGTAATTCTTCAGCTAGTCTGGCTTCAGCTGGTTCTGTGGACMTCTCTGTTCTGTCCAGTGCAGCCCTGTGTAACTTGTGTGGCTAATTCAGCCCACCTCTACTTTCCTATCAGGCAGCTGAATGAATCTTTTTCTCCACGATGGAGAAGCTTATAACTCTGTAATGAGTTAACTTTCAGAATGATCTACATAATTTATTTCCAGCCCCCACAGGAGGCTGCTGGAGCATTAATTAATATCAGGCCCTGCTATCAGCAACCATCCCAGTGTGGGATTCCTTCTTGTTCCTATTTTTGGCACCGTGGAATTTGATATGCTGTGCAACCCAAATGGAGTTTGTTGGACATGGTGAAAGATATGGTTGTCTGAGTTTTTACACTAATTGAGCTCCCATATGATCTAAAATCACAGGATCATGCAGAACTCAAAAACATTAAGCATTACTAAAACTAACACAAATGCAAAAGTTGCAACATAAATGCCACACAGTGTTGTGTGTTTTGTTGTTCTGGCCTGTGATGTTCTCACTTGTTTACCACAGTCTTCTTTGTATAATGTGAATCTTTTCATGTGTTTACTTACCTTACCATGCATCTCTCTCTCTCTTTGTTTCCCCCCACAGAACTCAATACGGCACAATCTGTCATTAAACAAATGTTTTCTCAAAGTGCCTCGCTCTAAAGATGACCCTGGAAAGGTAAGAGTGAAAAACATTATTTTAATTATAGCCAGTTAAGATTCCTTGCATGTTGAAAAAACAAGACAAATGAGTTTTAAAATAAGAAATGTGTTAAATTTCAAGTGTGTACAGTTAGTTGGCAGAATTCACAGTTGAAACATTTTTGGTGGGGGGTTTATGTGTGTCATGCTCTCCCTGGTAGAAAAATGTTGCTTTTGAAAGGCTGCCAGGACTCTGATAGTCTGGAAATGGACAGAATGCTCTTAATCTATTATGAACTTCCTGCCCTCACATAAATGCATTTCAGTGTAAAGAAAAGACAGTTTTTAAGGCAGCACAGACAGCAGAGTCAAGATCAAGAACTAAGACTGGTGTCGAAAACCAGGTCATTTCCAGAATCTGTCATTCCAAAAATATTTAAGAAACATGATCAGATTTCTTGCCTGCTCAGTTCCCTGCAGCTTTATTTATTTATTTATTTATTTATTTATTTATTTATTTATTTATTTATTTATTTATTTATTGTCTGTGAAACAATGTATAGTTCATGTTAATTTGACATTTGAATCTCAGCGGGACATTTGCTGTTTCGGCCTGATTTACTTCACAATCTCAAGCGGCATCAACCTGATTGGGAAATTTCCTCTGATGGGCTGTGTTGCACAGGAGGAGTTTATAGGTCTATATTTACCATGATGGTGTGCATAGGTCCAACCATATGTAGCCTAACCCAGATATCATCCCTGCACTGTCAGAGCACACTGTACACTCAGGGAACAACACACATAGTTATACACACAAACGCACACATGCACACACCGACACATGCATGAAGAGCTATGCCAGGCTGTGTAGAGGATGGGGACTGAATGCTAATTTCATGTTTTGCTGTAATCCTCTGATATTGACACTCCTGGGAGCTGCTCCACTAAATACAAAATAATCTATTGCTGTATGGATCCCATTCCAAATGCATGGCCAACATGCTTGCATCCTTAATGTTTAATTTGGAATTTTCCTCACTCCCCCCCCCTGCTCCCCCGAAGACAACTTCAAAGAGCTGCTAGCCGGTCTTGATATGTTGCATCAATATTGTAATGTGGCAGGAATATGAGAACTGCTGGTTGCAAGAGATATGAGAGTCATGTCGCTCAGTCTGTCTCTCTCTGAGATCGTGTAAGAGATGACAGTCGGTATTTAAGCAGATGCACACCTTTACCACCTTGGAGGTAAGAAATGTAGCATGTGGACGTTACAGGTAATCTTCATTTTAACAGGCCTCATGTTTTGGATCTGAAGGTATTTATTTTCTTTCTTGAATTTACATTAAAAAGAGGAAGCAGATGATGTAATTTATGTTAATCTATGAAAATGATCTGTGCCATTTAGGGGAACAGAAGAGGTAGTTCACATCTGCTATTGGTATCTGCTTTTTAAGGTCTTTATGGTGGCCTTTGTTTTGTGACTGCAGAGAAAATTGTGGCTTTGCTCTGTTTTTTTTTTTTTTTTTGCCCCAGACTCTATGGATACACTTGACTTGGCATTGCTTCAGAATATTGCCGTCTTTGTGAATAATTTAATGATTCTTTATATGCTTTTTCTTTCCCACTGCCAACTCTCTGGGGGCAGCATTGGGAAACAGAATCTCCCATCCCATGAGAGTAAATGTAGTCTCAATTAAACAAAACTCCAACCAGCCTGGCTTTGTCTGYGTGGCACAGTATTTAGAAACATATTTATCCCTTCTGTTTATTTTGTGAAATTTAAGAAAAAGAATATGATATAGACTTTCTCCCCTTTACATACATTTTTAACTGTAACTTACATTAATATGTGAGCATGTTACTATTTCAATTTTTATTGTACTGGGACTTATTTTTCCCTTTTTTAGGGAAATTTTAATTGACCACAAAGCCTTACGTATTCTGAAATATTCACGACCTTGATACATTCATAGAAACTGTGACAACTACAGCGTGTGTGAAGCATCTAAACAAAAGATTAGCTACATTTAACTAGTTTAACTGTTTAACCTTTTTTAAAGTAGCTTTTTATATGTCCTACTTTAATGTTTATACAATTTCTTTTGTAAATTAAAATTTTCTTTGCCTGAAATTTTATTTTAAAGGCACTGATCCTACTTTCCTTTTTTTTGTATTTAGATTTCACAGTTAGTATTGTCAGTGTTTTCACTGTGTGTGTGTGTGTGTGTGTGTGTGTGTGTGTGT